TCTATTCTTGCTATAATATTTTAAAAGTAGATTTAAACTTTATATAAAATCTCAGTTAAATATTCAATAAAGATAGAAACATGGCCTCACTATTAACATTAAAAAAATAAATAAATAAATAAATAAATTATATATTATCCCTTTATAAAATCACAATTAAATAAATAAGATAAAGAATATGTTTACAAACCACTATATAGAAGCATATAAGTAATCATATATATGCACTGTATATATTGTATATATATTGACATAAGATTACCCACTTATTACCAGGGTAAACTAAACTATTTCTAATGAACTAAGTAACCAGTGTGGCTGTTGTTAGCATAAAGGGTCAAACTATACTAAATTACTAAAGCTAATTGTCATAATGCTGCATGATACTATGTAATCAGATTGGGATTTGCATGAATAGTGTGATCATGATTTAATTAAAAGTCTAAAAGAGTAATTGCATTAATAATGTAGTAATCATTAGCAATTAGTATTGTATGAACAATGTAGTAATTATTAGCGATAGTAATAATATAAGGCATCCAAATAGAGAAAGTGCCTAACTTTGGTTCCTGATATCTCTAACTTTTATTCTTAATGAATAGTATAATAGCCAAGCAAGTTAAATATCAATAGTAGAAGTCAACAAATATAGTATTTTGGGTAACTCTGTGACACTAATTCGTCTACTTTAATAATTAATAATTTATTATCAACCTGGTTCTTAGCAAATACACATACATACCTTATCATTTTGTCAATTACTTTGCTGACAACTTCCCTTAACTTAGTTAATAATTATTATGATAAGCTATTTATTCTAATTTATCACTTGGAAACTTAAGTAAGTTATTAATTTCTTTTTATCATGTTAATTAGTATTATATTTTAGAGTAATTTAGAAGTATAAACATCTCCATGCTGGCATCAAATTATTAGCTCATTTTGCTCATTTCAAAAATAATCTAAAGCTATAATTACTTCATTAGTGGAATAAAATTCTATAAGTTGTTATAATTCATAGACACCTTATTCACAAATAGTTAGATCACAGAAAAGTCTATTTTATAGATAATTAATTTAGATAGGTTTAATTTTATAAAATAAACTTATCCGTAAACTAACTGTCAAAATATGGTACTGTCAACAGTATCTAAACTAATACATATAATAATTGCTAGCTATTTAAAGTATTATAATAATTTAATTTGCTGTAATTATATATAATTAAATGCAAAATAAAATACTGGACTAATTTTTTCTTATAGACTTTGTCTTTGGTGTGGTCTTCTTGGCTACATCAATAATTAGCTGTGGTTGAATTGGTTTCAGGTAAGAAGTGAATTCATATTTTGCTTAGGTTTCAAAAAGAGCATAATAAGTTCCTAAATCAGGATTAATAGCTAAATATTTAATTTCTGGGATCCTAAACAATAAGAATTGATACAATAAATAGCTGGTAAAATAGTAATGTAATTTAAGCTCTGTTAGTCAGAGACATGGAAAAATGCAATTTTATTTAAAGTATTTGAAATTTCTATAAATAAAATCACACTTTTTCTGTGTCCCTGCTGTTAGTGAATTATACGGATCCATTAAATATTTACTCCTATTTACGCAAATATGTAATATATTTTATAAATGTTTAAGTATATTGTTGCCATCACACTATTTGTTGTAAGCAAAATAGTGATTATAAAGAGGATAATTATGTAGTACTTATGCTTTATAAGAATTAGTTAAATAACTTTAGTGTCCAATAATATGCATACATAGTATATGCACAGCTCTATAAATATAAGCATTTTAGATATCAACACATTCAATTGAATGAATTCAAAAATATATTTAATTTTAATGTAGATATTATAAAATATTATAGTAATTTAAACAGCTGTAAGTGAATACATGTATAGTTTTGGAGTTTTGATATAGTTTTGGGAATTTACTATAGATTTAAGATTTTAAATAGTTTTGGAATTTCAGTATAGGCTTAGATTTCAATATAGTTTCAGAATTTTAACAAGTTTCAGAGTTTTGAAAATTAGTTTCAGATACCTAAAACTTGTTTTGGTTTTGGTTAGTGACCTAATATAGTTTTGGGTAGCATCATTAGATACCAAGAACATGTCATAGTTCTATTGGGCTATCTGGATTAGAAGTCTAAAGTTGCAAGCAAAGATATACTATAAATACTAAGGATATGCTATAAAGTCAGTACTGAGGTCTGGGTGAACTTTACAAAAACAAGCACTATAGTTAATATTAGTTTGTATTAGCATTATCATTAATGTATATCATAATTTATTGTAAAAAAATTTAATTAAAAACTTACAAGTTAACAATAAAGATTAAATATGGATAATTAGTTAGCAGAGAGGCCTTTTGGAGTCTTACAGTCAGATAATGTATTCTGAAATATGTAATAGCTTGACAGATATATAGAAAGAAAGGACATGGTTAGATTAAATAGCAATTTAGATATACAGAAACTTGTGTGCTATTTGTCATTGTAAGTATAAAGAACAGAGTATTTGAATATGTAATCTCCTAGTAGATTGCAGGTATGGCAGCTAGTATAGAACTTGCTGTACATTCAGACTACTTAAAATAGATGACCAAAAGTTGTATATGTGGCTAGTTATATACTCATCTTGTATAAGTTATATAATCATAATTAAAATACAATAAAGGCAATAGCTATTGATAACTACAGCCTTAGTGAAAGCAAAAAAAAATTATTAATCTATATTGAATTATAGTTTATATCATAGAATATTTGAATTAAATTAACAGTTTAAAGAATGTTATACTTGTGATTTTAGAAATTTTATTAGTTAATAATAATAATCTTTAAAATTACATATCAGATTTTATATACTAAGAAGGTATATATATTATTTCACTAAATATGTATGTTGTACTCAGATTTGAAATCTGTTTATTCAGAATTTGGCTGCTCCAATTTAGAACCAGAATGACCTAATTCTGAATTAGACAGATTCCAATTTAGAGTATAATATATATATATATTATATACCTTTTTTTGATCATAAATTAGAGCTGATAACAAAGTTTAGATTGAATATAAAGCAGTTTCATCTGTATTGTAAATTTGGTCAAGTATATATTGGCTAAGAAGATTATTCAATTTTGGTTTTCTTCAAATAAAGTATCTAAAAGAGTACTTTTAGCCTTTCTATATAAATAATAAACATAAAGATTATTACAATGTTTGAATTTTTCAATCTAACTATTTGACAATTAAAAACTTTTATAAAAAATTTGCTTTCTCTTTAACTAACATTTTACTAATTGGAATTTTAGCTATAATTATATTTTTGATCCTTAAGCTCATAGCTTTTTTGAGTAATAAAAATTTTGAGAAATAGTAACAGAACTTATTTTTTGCTAATTTATTAGAAACTACTGCTAGCTATTTATCTTTCTTATTAATAATCTTAGAAATAGTTGTACAATAAATATTTAATTAAAAATTTTAATTAAAATATTCTATAATTTGCATATAGTTATAATATGAGTTTTTAACTACAAATTTACAAATTTGCTATTTGAAATTATTACTAATTGCAGTTTATATTTATTTAGATTTAGTTGATATTTAATTTTATTTTGAAAAAATAATATTTATAGTAATAATATTATTGGTACCAATTTGAAAATTTACAATTAATAAAAGACTACAAAGTTAGAACAAAAAGAAAACAAGTTATTAAAAGAAATATTATCATGCTGCAAATTATCTGAAGTCAAGTTATTTTTATTAGTATATGTATATTTATAAACTTTCTATACTATGAAAATTAAAGAATTAAGGTTAAAGGCTTTGAATAAGAAGTATTTATTTATTGTTTGCTTTTATTTTATTTATTTAGACTAGTTAGTATTTTTATATTTTTTTTCTTTTATATAAAATTAAAGTTAAACTTATTATGAATTTTTATATTTTTCTAATAGCTTTTAGAGTAGCTTTACTTTTTTTTAGTATTAGTTTTTTTTTTATACTTAACATTTATATTCATCTATAAATTTCTATTTTAAGAATTTATTAAACTAGATATACATATTCATATGCTGCATAAATTATATTCTTGACATTTATATCAGTTACTAACTATATTTATATAAAAAAAGTAACTCTAACTCATAACTTGCTTTAATATTCTTACATTTTAATAAGTTTATCAACAAAATGACAATGAGACCATTATTGCAAAAACAAATAACTTTATAAAATCATATTCTGATTTTATATTTAATTTTTCTATGAGTTTTGTATTAGTCAGAATTATATTAAATACAGAAATATTCTAATCAATATTGTGATTGCATATAATTATAGTATAATTATATCATTAGGATTATTAAGATATAATAAAATAATTATATTAATATATTTTAAACATTTAATTAAAGATATAAGAAAAGTAATAGTATTTTGTTAATATGAAGATATCGGAATACCTTTATTCAATTGAAAAGGTTATCATTTTTTTTAACTATTGCTCATCATGTAATCAAAACTGACTCTGTTATCCCAAATTTACTTTACTTTATTGACAATTGTTTCACCAATGGCTTATTTAGCTGACATTACATTGATAATATTTTAGTAAAAATATATCTGAAACTAATCAAATATTTAACTCTAACATTATGTGATGTTAGCTAAATGAACTTCTAATAAAATAACTAAACAGAACATTTATTCATCATGGATCATTCCTTTTCTCAATAATAGATTAATATTTCTAGACCAAATCAATATTAGGTTATGAGTTTTCAATATCTCTGTGTTGGGACTTATTAGTTTTATTATAAAAAGAAAAAAATAAAAAAAACTAGATAATAAAAAAATACTTAAATTCTAGCATTTGAGTTTTTAGATATGACTTTGATAGATTTGTATTTTCTCTATTGTCTACAGTAATTACCCCGTGACTTTACTATGCACATAGTCAAAATCAAGATATTTAATTTGATTGATAAATTTTTTAATATGTAACTCTAAGAGATTATAAGAAGTAAATTTATTATGTATATTTATAGTTCGGTTACAATAAAAAGTGTGATAGTGATTATATATATATTGTTTTTATAAAGAGAGATTTTATATTTTAAAAAGTTGGGACCATAAATTTATGTGATTTTATAAAGTTGTGATTTTATAGAGTTGTGATTTTATAGAGGTTGTAATTATAATAAATACCAAAAAAATTGAAAAAAAATTATAAATAAACAATATAAGCCACACTCTCTCAATATACAATATTTTTAAGATTTAAATACGTCTTTATTATTTATAAAAAATAAGTTGCTATCAATATTATCAATACGTATCTCTTTACTTGATTTAATTTATTGGTTAATCCTAAAATTTTCGATCGCTAAAACGATCTCTTTCGTATTAATAAGTTTAGAAATATACATCATATTATCATGTTTTTGCGAGGTAATTGGCAATTCTTTGATAGATTTATCAGCTTCTAAAAATTGTTGTTTGATCTCTTTATCTGAATAAATACATTGTTTGTCTAATTTAACATTACTGTCATTGATGACTATAGATTTTTTCCATTTTTTAAGTTTGTTAAAAATTCCAAAAGCCGTAGATTCTTTTTTCATATCTGATTTAACGTTACTATCATTGTTGACTATAGTGTTTTTCCAATTTTCAAGTTTATTAATAATCTCAACAGCCACAGGTCTTTTTTTCATATCTGAATTAATACATTGTTTGGCTAATTGAACATAACATTTTGGTGTCTTTATAACAAATTCAGGTCGTAATCTATGACAAATCATTGCCGCTAATTCAGCATCAAAATTAAAACCATCGAAAGGTCTTCGACCAGTTAATATTTCTATCATAATAATTCCAAAACTATAAATATCAGCGGCTTGAGGGAACTTTTCACCTTTCAAGACCTCAGGTGCTAAATATGGCAAAGCACCATAAATACGATCATCCTGTATTTCATCAATCGATATTGATGAACCCAAATCAATATAAGCTTCATATCGTTCTTTTAATAAAACATTACCAGAATGTAAATCTCGATGTATAAAGTTTTTAGAATGAATATTTAATAGATCATTAATGATATTGCATAATATTTTAAGTTTAATTTTCCATTCGGATTTAAATATATCGATAAGATTGTCACGTAATGATCCAAATTTTGCGTAACTTAACACTAAAATAAAATCTCCTGTATTTTTGTCCATTGATATGCCTTTACATTTTCCAAATGAGTGATACGCCTTTAACTAAAAAATATTCAATTTATACTTAATTTATACTTCATTTATGCTTCATTAATTAATAAACAATTATATAAAAAATAAAATACCTCGTTTAAAAATATTTGTTTATTTTTATGTGAATCTTTTATTATCTTGATTGCAACTTCTTCATACGTTCCAAAGGACATTCCATATAATGTTTTATACACTACGGAAAATCCACCTTTACCAACTTCTTCAATATTTCTAAAATTGTCGTATTCTATCCACCGAAAATAGTTGTTATTATGACGACATTTATGCTCAGTAACTGCAGATTTTGAGTACCATTCAAATGCCAAATCTTTATTCTTTTCTACTCCAATCCCATTCTGATAACACCAACCAACACGATACATTCCACAACAAAGTCCATGTTCGGCACTTTTTAAATAATATTCAAAAGCCTTTCGTTCATCCTTTTCAATTCCGATTCCATTTCGATAACAACGTCCAACATTATATGCTCCAGCTGCGTTGCTCATCTCAGCAGATTTTAGATAGTAAATGAATGCCTTATGTTCATCCTTTTCAGCTCCAATTCCTTTTTCATTACAAACTCCAACATCATTCATTCCATTAGAGTACCCCATCTCTGCAGATTTTTGAAAATAAATGAATGCCTGACGTTCATCCTTTTCAACTCCTTTTCCATATTGATAACAAAGTGCAACACGACGTGTTCCATATGCATTCTCTATCTCAGCAGATTTTTGATAATAAATAAATGCCTTATGTTCATCCTTTTCAACCCATCTGCCATCTTCGTAACAAATCGCAAGAATGAATTGAACCATAGGATTGAATTGATTATCTAAGCAATATTTAATAATATTATCTGGATTTTGCTTTTTTTCTACTAGAAATCGTTCTAAGGCGTCAACAGCTAGATTAAAACTTCTGTATTTTATACTTTCTTCATTATACAAATTATACATTTCTTCAATAATTTCACTGAGAAAATCCCGAGACTTATCTTCTAAACACAGGTGATTAATTTCATTGGATATTTTAGTAACATCTAATGGGTTGTCGATTTTTTCTGGTTGTTTTGAATTTGACATTTTGGCGCAATGAGAGAATTTGTTATATACGGACATCAAATTTATTGTAGATATGTACGTATGAATTACGTAACGCAATTAGATGTATCACATACACATTGTAACCTTGTATTCGGTTCCAAGAAGACTTGGGACAAAAAATAACCTACCATGTGAAATCTGTGATACCACATTTATTCACTGCTATTATCAAAATATCTAGAATAATTTTTTGACCGATTCGGTTAAGTTTGTAATTTCGGTATAATAATAATAGATCCAATGAAATTACACAATTGTACGTATGCACGTGCGTACGTAACTTTTGCGTTAACTAGGGCACTAGCAGAGCCGGTGGACTTTAGTCCCAGCAAAAATATCACTAGGATATCACGTACCCAAATCTGATTAAAATTGGTTTATTTGAATTTTATAAACTTATAGAATTAAAATAAAACAATTTCGGTCAAATTTGGTTATGTGGTTGTCATGATATCGTTAGTGCTGTTTTTGCTACTACTAAAATCCACTGGCTCTGAGCTGATTATTACACATGCATTACAAGTCTTTTAACGGTATTACGTATACATTATTCGGCAGACGACAAAAAATAACAGGCAATTTTTTTTTTGTCGGAGTTAAGTCACTCGTAGCAACACATGAGTGAAATTAACTCTAATGAAAAAAAAAATCGCCTGTTATTTGTCGTACGTATGCCGAATAATGATGTTAT